GAGCGGGGTCCTTCCCTCTTCACGGAGTGTCCCCCCTCCCCGGTCCCTCCCAGGCCTCTCTCTGTGGCGCGGGCCCTCTTCGTGGGGGAGGGGGGGCGGCCGCCCCCCGCTAGGAGCGGGTCTGCCTTGAAGCAATGCGTTCCCCTCTTCTCTGGCGCCCTCCGAAAAGGGTGGCTCCCCCTTGGGCCCAGCTCTGTGGAACGGGCCCCGTCCCCATTTGAGGCCCTCGGATCCGTCCCGTAGAAGGCCTGTGCCCCCCGCCCCGCCTCCTTCCCCGGGTCCCTGCTTGAGGAGTGGGCTGCCTTTGCCTCCCCCGGACAGAGTGGGGGCCCTGCTACTTTCTCCCTTAAGGAGTGGGCCCCCACCTGAGACCTCTTTAAGATGGGCCCACGGCAAAAAGGTCCCCTGTGCTGCCTCCCATCCATGCGGTTCTCTTCCTTCCTGTTGCTGTGGGGTTCTGGGCTCCCTGCCTCGCTGGGGTCCCCAGTCTGCCTTCTCGTCCCCCACTTTCCTCTGCCTGGGACACCCTTGTGCCTCCTTGTCCAGAGGAGGCAGCTCCTGGGGTGGAATATGGTCTCAGTAGCATCTTTGACCCTAAAATCCTTTTATTGGAAGAAATGAGTAACAGAGCATGTTCCAGCATGAGCCACCAGGGAGGAAGAGGAGTTGACTCTCCAACTAGCTATGCTCTGAGTGAGCCTTCCTAATGGTACTCAGTGCTCTAGTAAGGATGGGTGCTGGGCTCAACAGGACCTATATGGGGTGCTGAGGAAGGTTTGCTGTTAATCTGTCCACCCAGGTCTGTTGTCATAAAAAGGAGCCCACAATTCTGAAAGGTGAATGGCAGAGCTGCTAAAAGGATTGCTGAGGCAAGTTTGGAAGTATTTCCAGAACGTCTTCAGGAATCAGGCTGGGAATCACAGGCACAGGAAGGGGAAGCCCTGGTGTGCTCTGTCAGTCTGCTGCCTCCCTGCCTGTGTGGGGCTGCTCCCTGCTGTACCATTACAGGGCAGGTTGCAGATATCTCATGAGCGTTGAGAGTTCAGCCCTGCAGCTCCACATCAGAACCCTCCCTAGGTAATTCCCTGTAATGTGACTTTTGCTCATTGCCACGTGCTCTGGACTGGATGTGTGTGTTAGTCTGGCGGCTCCCACGCAGAGCCCTCGGCTGTTGTGTGCTGTGCAGGGATAACGTGGTTGGCGCTTGAAGACCGAGTTTGACCCAGACAGTTTGGGGGAAGTGACAGTCAAACATTTCACTGCTTGCAGTTTTATCTAATAATTTTTCCTGTCTCTTAGCAGTTGTACCCAGCGGACTGTGAAACTTCTCCATGCTTGTATTGTTCTCTTGCTTGTTTCTAAGTTTTGTATTAGGCAAACTTTACTCATGACAAATCAGATCCTCTCAGGCCTGCAGCCCTTCTCTGCGCAGCGGGGATCACTCTGCATGAAGGACATTGACAGGGCCGAATGCCACAGTTCCCAGATGATGTGCCCTGGGCCTTGCTCGAGGGGAATGCCTGTGTGGATGTGTTGTCTCCCAAGTGTAGTAGCGCAGGTCTGGGGACTTGGCTACCATGCTGGCCTGACTGACAGCTGCTCCCTGAGCTGTCTGTTCAATGGCGTTTTGTGGGTTCCTCGTGTGCAGCAAACCTGGGATTGTTTGATGGCTTTTTTTCTAACTTGAATCTATTTCTGCTCGTGCTTTCAGTAAGGGCTGTTCCACCCCTAAACTTTGAGACACCATTGTATGGAGGTGTTCGGGACTGGCACTGGGATTTGGCAGTGGGGTTGTTGCAATGCCTTCAGATGCATCTTTCCCCCTCCCTGGTCGAGGCCATACTGGCTGGCATTTGTTCCCTTGCAGGCTGGGAGGAACCTGGGGTGGTTCTTCCAGGTTATGCAGCTGCACAGAGGTTGTAGCTCTCCTCCTAGGGCAGTGATGTGTGTGTTTCTGAAGTACTTTCAGATTGGCATGGGAAGGGTCCTCATCACATACTGAAGGACAGATCTGGGAGCTTTTTCTTCTGGTTTCAGGTATGTTTCAGAAAAAAGGTACCAAGAAAAGAGGAGGGACAAAGAAAACTGATATATTTTGAGCTAATCGGGGAGGTTTTGTTTCCTTGGTACGTATTGCTGTTTTATGCTTATTCCACTCATTCCGAGTGTCCCATCTTTATTTTATTTCTGTGCCCAAGGCTGAGAGTGGGCCAGGATATCTCAAACCAGACTGTCCTGTGCTGAGTGCCTGTCGATTCCTGCACTGGGGGTCAAGCTCTCTCTGGGTTTGGCTGTGTAATTCCCCTACACCTCTTTTCCTGTTGCGAAGCTAGATTAAGAACACCGTCCCTTTGATTTGCTATCCACTTGGGTCTACCAGTGGAGCTAATAGCAGAAGGGATGCTTTAGACTGCTTCATTAAAATAGTCTAGGCTATAAAACATCCCACATTTTAACTGTCTGTTTTTAAATGAGACTTGTTTCCCCGCTGTGGTTTATGGTGTGATACTGATAGTGGCTCCTATAGCTAAAAGGATGAGAAACTATGATGCAGAGGACTTCTCAGCTTCACTGCTGAGCAGTATAGAGCTGCATGGCCTGCTGTTGCTTGCAGCAGATCTTCCTTTGAAGGCCTGGGAGCTCTGTTGATGGAGAGAAGTTGGTATCCTTGGAGACTACTAGGAGAGCTCAGGGAAATGCCTTGGGAGCTTATGGGGCTGAGATGCAGTGTTTTAATGCTTGTGATTCTCATAGACTCTTTCTGTTCAACTGTCACGCTCCTCTGGGGTATTGTGCTGGGGCCAGAAGTGTCAGGGCTGTGAATCCCTTCTCTGCGTGTGCATAGGGGCACACAGTGCCTTACGCTGCAGGAGATGTCTGCCTAAAGGCTGCCTGTGTAGCAGAAGGCACGTGAGCAGCATTGTGCTGCTCATCATAGATTTTGCTCAGTGCCCTGGATCTTTTGCCTCCGGCTTAGCTGCCGTGCTCTCCGGTCACAGTGAAGTCAGCCTACTGTGCCTCTGCAGTGCCAGAGGCGAGTGCTGAGTCAGCCCTTTATTTTAGACTTCCTTGAGGCACTCCTTCTGTGACAAAGCTGCAGCCCTGGATTTTCTGCCTAATCATGCTGGAGTCCCTAACCTCATCTGACACCGTGCTCTGGCATCCTGAAAGCAGTGAGAAAGTGCAAAGTCCCCTGTGGACTGGCATGGATTGAGCCTTCATTCCTTAGCCCAGCCTATGTGTTTGCAGAGGAAGGTGTCCATCCTGAACTGGAAGGAGTGCAGGCTCGCTTGCGTTTGCAGAGTGACGTCATGGCTCTCCTGTGACTTGGTCCTGTGCCCTGGGGCCCGGAAGGTTTACTTCCCTCCCCAGCGCCTGGTGAGTGAGAGTGCAAGCTGGAGCTGGCCTGCTCTTGCAGCCTCTTTCAGCTTAATTAAAGGATTGCTTTAGGAAGTGATGCACT